GAAATTAGCACAAGACCATCGACAAATGGTGCTTTTGCTCAATTGACTTTTAAATATATTTTTTGCTTAACAATTTAGTTTATATTAAAAAAATAAATATTAAACATTATTAGATCCTTCGTCCAAATATACAAAAATCAAATTTTAAAGTGCATTTACTTCCGAGAAAAAAATGTCAAAGTCACATGTTGCCTAAAACCCTCGACAATTGGTACAGTTACCCTATCTAAAGTTTTATTAATAAATAATTAAAATTAATAATTCTTTTTTGCACTAATGAAAAGAGCGTGTTTGAATTAGTCAAGAACATAAGTTTGTTAACAAAATTTTTAATTTTATTAAGAGATCCAGATGCAAACGTGTTTCCTTCAATATCTCCGATTGAGCTAAAATGTAGATAGTGTCTTTTTTAAAAAGGACGGCAGTAACTGTAATGTATGTATATCAAAATTTAAATTACTTCAAAAAAAGCCTCTCAACAAAAAGCCGCCCCCCACGATCTGCCGCCCTAGGTTCGGGCCTAGTCTGCCTAGTTCTAAATCCAGCACTGGAATCGGTAAGGTGTACAATTTCTTCTTCTTCTTTATTTAATTTTTTCAGGCCAATTCTTACGGAAGCGCACATTCGCAAAAGGCCAACGCAGATTAGATCTGTAACCGGAACCGCAATCGTAACCGTAAGCGTAAGAATGAGTTAGAGAAGGATAAACAATATACCTATCCTTCTTTAACTCATTCTTACGGTTACGCTTACGATTGCGGTTCCGGTTACAGATCTATTCTGCGTTGGCCTTAAACTCTGACAAGTGTACTTGCCAAGAAGACTATATACAGGAGGAACAACTCGAGTATTTCCGATGGTCCCGATTTTAACGTACGACTGGGCGTACTACCCCGAGGCGCACTAGTCTTCTGCACATCCCAACACATGCATAACTGTGTATATTTTATATATATTCCATCTGACAGCTGTAACAGCTGCAAGTTTTTATTATCTCCTCCATATTGAATAATAAGTGTAAATATTAAGTGAACTTAATATTTTTAATACAGAAATTTCTAAAAAAAGTGAGAAGTGTATTTAACACTAGTGTTTTTAATTATGATTCGTCTGGATGAAGAGTGTTAATTTAAATAATAAAAGTTGTAATGGGATTTTCATAACCATTTTTTATCTTACAATAAAAAAAGGGCATGTTATATTATAAATTATTATCGCTCTTATTATAATATATAATTTATTATATATTTATTATTGGTGCAATTATATTTATTTCTGTTTATAGCATTGTATTTGAGGTTAACCATAACCTCCAAAAGAGGAATTTTTCCAACTAAACTAACTTAACTTAAATTTTAAAAGGGATTTATAAATTATAAAAATTAATGAAGATGAAATCAAGCACAAATATTTCTGAAGATACAAACTCTACATATTTTCAAAATCAACTGTCACAGAACTTGCACATAACCAAGAAAATTGTAAACAAAACAAACACACATTATCTAAAGATACACAGATAGAGTTTATACAGTTATGCATGTGTTGGGATGTGCATAAGACTAGTGCGCCCCGGGGTAGTACACCCAGTCGTACGATAAAATCGGGACCACTGCTCTCTATGAACAAGCAGGCGAGTTCTTCTTCTTCTTCTTCTTGTTTTAATGGCCTCTTGTTTAACAAATAGCCAGTACAAAAGCAGGCGAGTTGGTTCTCCTGTATATAGTCTTCTTGGTACTTGCCTACCGCTCTGAGCATCTCGAAGCAGCTCGTGTGACGAGCGAACTATCTCGCTCGAATCACACTTCGAGGTTAATCGAATCACGATTGTACACTCAATAACATATATGCTGTCCTTCTGGTTTGGCCAACTTTTTGAAAAGTGGTGTGCCTTCTATAAGAATGTTTTAAGTCTATGGACTTAAACCACAGACTAAAGCCATAGACTTAAAAAATTCTTATAGAAGGCACACCTTATTTATATTTCAACATTATATATTTGTTTTTTATGAACTCAGATTCTTTACAAGTAATTATTATGTATGCTAAATATTCATGTTAATCTAAATTCAAAAATAATATCCGTTTTTACGTAACAATTAGAGTTTGCGAGATAGTTTATAACTTTTTTAATTAAAGATTTTTTATAATGAATTTTAGATATTTGTAATCATAAAACATTACAGATTCAAATTTTTTTGTTTTGAAAATTGAATTATTTAAATTGTAAACTCTTTAAGCCATAAAATTATAATCCAATACAACAATAGGCTTTCGGGTCTATTGTTAAAGCATGGGTTGCAATATAAGTTTAAAATTTAACGGGAATTTCGTTGAAAATTTTGTTAACCTTTTTTTATTTTCACTTCTAAACTGTTAACAATGGTTTGTTGGCATAACCTACATTTGAAACTATTGTTAAAGGACTTTAAAAATGTCTATCGAAACATTTAAAAAACGGACTGAAATTGTACTGGAGGCCAGTACAATTTCAGTACTTTTTCAGTCCATTCTTCCGGTAGGGTACTACCGAAATTGTACACTTAAAACTTTCTATCCTTCAAAATTGTCACGTACTGGAAAACCCCAGTTTTCAACACTTTTTAGAAATGTTAATCATTCCATTACTTTTTATAAATAATCGTAATTTGTATATTTCATTATTTCAATCAATCTAACATCTAATCAATTATTATAATATAATTAATAATGAATTAAGACTTGCCCTGCCGGAAGAATGGACTGAAAAAGTACTGAAATTGTACTGGCCTCCAGTACAATTTCAGTCCGTTTTTTTAAATGTTTCGGTAGACATTTTTAAAGTCCTTTAACAATAGTTTCAAATATAGGTTATGTCAACAAACCATTGTTAACAGTTTAGAAGTGAAAATAAAAAAAGGTTAACAAAATTTTCAACGAAATTCCCGTTAAATTCTAAACTTATATTGCAACCCCTGCTTTAACAATAGACCCGAAAGCCTATTGTTGTATGGGATTATAATTTTATGGCTTAAAAAGTTCACAATTTAAATAATTCAATTTTCAAAACAAAAAAATTTAAATCTGTGATGTTTAAGATTTCAAATATCTAAAATTCATTATAAAAAATGTTTAATTAAAAAAATTATAAACTATCTCGCAAACTCTAATTGTTACGTAAAAACGGATATTATTTTTGAATTTAGATTAACATGAATATTTAGCATACATAATAATTACTTGTAAAGAATCTGAGTTTATGAAAAACAAATATAATGTTGAAATATGAATAAAAGTTATTTTTAACATTAACAAAGAAAGATTTGTCCTTCAACTTAATGACGGTCAGGCCATAAACATCACCGATAGCGACCCTTTTGCAGGTAATTTTTCTCAGTACAATTTCAGTGCTGAAACGCAGCAAATTTTCACTGAAATAGCACTGAGCTCTCAGTACTAATTCCCCAGTACAATTTCAGTCCATTCTTCCGGCAGGGTGTAAATAAACTACATTCAAGATTTATACACTGAAAAAAAAATTTATTTGATTCAAATAATTCAAATTATTTGAAAAATATTTAATTGATTTAAATACTTTTTAGTTGGATCAAAAAAATATGTATTTGATTTAAATATCTGCAATTATTTGAATCATACTTATTTGAACCAAATAAATCGTACTTGATTCAAATAAATAGTTAATTGAATTGATTAAATAAATTTATTTAATACAAATATTGAATTATTTGAAACTATTCTTTCATTTATTTCACTCAAATACTTCGTTTATTTGATGCAAATAAAAATTATTTGACACAATAAATTTATTTTATTGATTCTAATAAGCGGAATTATTTGCTCCGAATAATTTATTATTCAAAGCTAATATAATATTTTATCAAGACAAGTAAAAAAATATTTCAATCAATTAAATAATTATTTGAAAGGAAAATAATGAATTATTTGAAACTGCTCTTTCATTTATTTTACTCAAACGAGAACAATCGCGCGCTGCCGCGCGCGCGTTTTTTCTCTTGCATTTTTATTCTTTAAATTACAGTCTTTTGTTTGTTAAGGTATCAATTTGAGTGACAGTTTCTGATAATAGGAATTTTTAAATATTATTCAATTTAATAAAATAATAGCCTATGTTGTGCGTAAAACAATTTTTTATACCTTTACAATTCTAGTTCTGTTTTTATCTGTTTCTAAATGTATCATTTCTAAAGTTTATGGTTTTGATAAAAAAAACAACACTTTTCTTTGCTTAAAGAAAAGCGTATATTTCAAGAATGGCACATTTTATAAAAAGTTTTGTACGATGAAGTTATAGAAAACCTTTTTATAATCAAAGTAATCTATTTGTTAATTAAATTTTGTAACATTTAAAATCTTCCATAGTAAATTTATATTTTAAAAAATAGTGATGAAAGAAAAACGTTACTAAATAAACAATTTTTAACTATTTTTCACTTAGCTAGCAAAAAAACATCTCTACTGTCAAAGAAAGCCATAAACAGAGGATATTAAATTAAAAATTTACTTTTGTTTCTTAAAATCGTTCCTACTTTTGCTATAAAAAAGAAATATAAGTGTGGTTTCTGTAAATATTATACAAAAAATGTAAGTACTCCTTCATTTCGAAAAAAATAATTTATTTCAATATATGCTTTTCTATAAGATTCATGGGATGCAAAATTTCGTTAATAATCTTGAGAAATATTATCTTTAAACTTTTTTCAAAGTTCATTTGGATGAACTGGTTGGCAGTACATTAAAATACGTACAAATAAGTGTCTTAATTATCTGAAGTTTGAACTATTATTTGAAATTAGGAAATTAAAACGTCTTTGACCAATTGATAAGAAAGAAACGTGTAAAGAAATCTTACGTGTGAATCTTATTACAAAAAAATGACGCAATTTACCAATAAGAAGCGTCGAAGAAAGTCTCGCGCGTAAAGACAGCCATACTGAGACACACTCCTTTAAAAAAAAAAAAATATATATAACGACTCAGACATTTTTATAGAAAAAATATTTACTTTTATTTCAATAATTCAGTGTAAACATAATTCTTGATTAGTAAATTAGGTCTTTGATTTCCTAAATATATAATTGATGATTCCCAAGATTTAACTCGTGAAAATGCAACATATACTTGCCCATGATTAAATACATTTTTACGAAGGTCTACACCAATCTTGTCAAAAGTTTGTCCTTGGCTTTTATTTATTGTCATTGCGAATGCTAATTTTATAGGAAATAGCCGTCGTTTGAAAGTAAAAGGATAAATATCCTCACAATACAGCGTAATACGATTTATAAATACAATATCTCCAACCTTATCACCTGTTAACATACGACAACGTAGCAGATTGTTTGATAGTTCTAATACCTGCATTCGCGTTCCATTACATAAACCTTCATTAATAACCGACAGATTAGCTCAGTCGGATAGATGCCTGGCGTTGGTGGTCGTTTAAGGACCAAGGGTATAAGTACCCTTGGTTCGCGCCCACTTGGCTTGGTATTTTTCCGGCACGTGAGACAATCTGAGCGGGAGGTTTGACGTCGAGGTATAATGATGTGCACCGTCGATTATTGTCCGGTACACACCATTAGAACTCGACTGTCGATAAACCGGTTGTACTCAGAGAGGTTTTCTACAGTTTCCCTCTTCTCTGGCGAGAAAACCCATTGACGGGTGGTCCAGGCGTAATGCGAGTACTCCTAATAAAGTCGGCTGTAGACGCAAAATTAGGTTAATATATAGAAAATTTCTAAAGTAGAATGGTTATGCTTAATCCAAAAAAAGTATTTCTCGGGGACTCTTGTAGAAGTGCGTAAGGCCAATAGGGCAGGAGTATAAACAATAAAAAAAAAAAAAACCTTCATTAATACTAAGATTTCGAAGTAGCATGACAATACAATTGGCTCTTAATCGTAATTCATAAGGCAGGAAATTTGATGGATTTAAAGTATTCAAATACTCTGTTAAAATAGCATCATTTATACTTCCATTATCACAATTTTCGGTACTATCAACACTTGTATAAATTCGCTCACTTTTATTATCAAACAGTTCGAGTACCTTGTTGTTAATTTCATCAACATCAACATTTCGAGCAGACAATATTGCTACTTTTGCTAAATCATCGTATTTTTTATTGATAATTAATTCTCCAAATATTTTATGAATGATATCACCATTCTCTACACATTGCTCTGGTGCTAGTATATTATTATCATTTAAAGTACCATTTCCAACTGATAATAAATATTCTGAAAATTCTATTTCACCAGGTAAAATTCTCATATTTTCTGTTAATGATATTACCTTAAAATGACTCCATAATGTGCTAGAGTTAATAGATAAATTAACTAATTCGCTTCTAGTAGCATTAACTTTAACAGGCAATAATTGTCTAAAATCGCCACCCAAAAGCATAGTTTTTTCACCAAATGGCATATCAACATTCATAAAATCGCGTAATGTTCTATCAATTAATTCCATAGCATATCTTGGCGCCATTGGAGCTTCATCCCAAATAAAGACATCAACCTCTTTCAAAAATGTAGCTTCCTTAGATTGACTTTTAATATTTGATGTAGAATCATAGAACAATGGAACAGGCATCCCAAACGTTTTATGTACAGTTTTACCACGGGGAAGTAATATTGCGGCAATGCCTGTAAATGCCATAGTACAAACACATTTTCCTTTACTTCTTAACAAATGGTATAAAGTTGTATAAACAAAAGTTTTTCCGGATCCACCTAGTCCATCAATGTAATAACATGAAGAAGATGGTATTCTTTTATCTTGGATAACTACATTTAATACTTCATCAACAATATCCTTCTGTTTGGAATTCAGTTTCACATATTGCATTTCACCAATCTCTTTATGTTGTTGTAATGACATTTTGTTGTTCGTTTGATTTTCTGTTTCAATACTTATTTCATTTAACTGTATCATTTCAAAAAAAAATTGCGAATATTTGATCCTTCATGCAACAGAAAGTTAATTATATCATTATATGCTCTTTTATGAGCTTCATTAGATGGATAATTTTTCTGATAATCTTCAGACATAGCCTCTTTAAACTTTTCCCAAAGTTCGTTTGGATGAACTGGATGGCAATAAATTAAAATACGCACAAATAAACGTCTTAATTTTTGTGGCATCATCCATACTTCTCCTTCTGTCAAAGCACGTTCCCATTCTTCATCATCTTCAATAAGGCCTAATGCTAAACATGCACTACGAAAAGTGTCATGTACAATATTGTTGACAGTTCGCAGATGATCATAAGTTGTAGCGCCTTTAACTAATATTAAAAGTAATCTAAAATGAAACAGTTCTGATTGACTGGGCGAAATTGAATACATCCGTCCAATGACATTAAATGACCCTTTACGCTTCACCCATTTTAATGCATTTTCACCACGTTCTTTCTTAAAAACATAATAACATGGAATTTCTGCATATGTATATTGTCTAGCTTGTGGATCACGATTAATTAAATCGAAGTATTCTAATAACATAGTCCGTTTCTGTAAAGCTTCATTTATAGCATCATCATTTGCTTCTTCACTAATGGTTACAGTATGCCGATTAATTAAATGAACAGGTAATCAGAGAATAGAATGACTTTTACTTTGTAATGGTCTACCAAATATTCTATCACATGCTTCAACAGGACTAACATATCGAGTTTCAATAAAGTTTTTTATTTCATCATATTCTAAAGAACTTGTATTATTACTACTATCGGTAATTACTACAGCAGCAGCATCATGTCCCTTAAAAATATATTTATACAAATATTTTACGGATTTAATACTTGAAACTACTTCTACATTAATATGACAATTAAATAACTGAAGTAATGTAGGATTGTATGGAATAACGTATTGATTATCTGTAGTTCCTCCATTTAGGCGATCGTATTGTCCTGTATTAAGGCAGCGATACGTTGGGTATCCGTTTTCATCAATTATTGTCTCAGAACAGAATTGTTTTGGGAAACCTTTCAAACATTTACTATTATTATCTTTACACCAATTTCCACATGGGCCATGAATCATATTTTTCATAACGATGTCATGAAGTATAACATTTTCTGATTGACTTTGAATTTCTGCCGAAATATATTTGTCTACAATCTCGGGTGTTGTTATTTTATAATTTTGTTTCAAAGTCACTAATAAATGCATATGCGGCAATCCACGTTTTTGATATTCAATGACATGCACATAAGCAATCACTTCGCCAAATAATTGTTCCTTTACAATAGTATTAATAAGTTTACACGGAGAGAAATTTGAACCGTTAAAGGCAGTGTCTAATTCAGAAGGTTAAAAGAGGGGGAAAGTTCACGGTAAATCTGAGCGATTTCACCGAGTTTTTCCATTCACGAATCGCAAGTGGCAGTGACAGTAACCGTCAGAGAGCGCTACATCTTGTAGAAAATTATGATGAGTTTCCATTCATCGCCTAAGACTCTGATCACACCGTGATTTTACGTTCAACCTTCTCTCCGTGAATCTTTTTTATGGTAAAAACACGCGATACAATATCTGGTCTGTCAAAGGCAGTTTGGTTAGGTAATAAATTTTCCTTAATTTCACGCCAGTTTGGATTACACGTCATCGTAATAAAAAGATCAGGTTTACCAAATTTTCTCACAATAGCCATTGCATCTTGGTAATGCTGTAACATATTTCTCGGAGAACCTGTGAAAGATGATGGAAGTATTACAATTTTCCCAACTTCATTGTTCGAATCATCAGCTCTTCTTTGTAAATGATCAATTAGACCTTCGTAAGTATCTGCACGAAGTTTCTTTTGATTATTTCGACAGAAATTTGTTCTACCTTTTTAATTTTCACATAACTGTCGACAATCCATTGCTGAAATAATCTACCACCCTTTAAAAATACATTGTTGTCCCTAGAAGCCATTCTATGCCTGATGTATGCAGCTCTTGATACACGTTTATTTGTATTAGCGCAGGTCAGATTTTTGTCCCAACCTCTTGTTCCATGTGGATAAAATAAAGGATATATCCATGGCTCAACATTGGGATTCATAGAACTTATATATTGTAAACTTTTTGTATTCTTATTATATACGGTAACATATGATTCTGGAATATCACCATCAGCAGTTGTAGTAAAAATTGCTGCAACTTCATTGACACTTTGTAAATTATAACGTCTACTATCCATCCCAGGCTTTAATGAAAATAATAATTGCATTTCAGGCTAAATTTCTGCATTATTTTCAGTCATTGTTTTTTTAATTTTTTCATGCATCATACGGTAGGACTGTGCAAATAGGTTACAATCCCGAAGGGCTGTTTCAATTCCATCAACAATATCTCGGTTTAATTGAACATTATTCTTACAACAAATTTCGGAAGCTTCGTTTTGATCAACAATAAATAACTGTCCAAATGAAGGAGTATCGTTCCTTTCTGCATACAAAGATGTATTCATTTGATAATAAACCTGACCATGTATTTTGAAACAATATGGTCCTGGTCGTCTATTGTTAAAATTAACTAAGTTAGCGTTGAAAGAAGCAAAACCAAATGAATTATTGTAAGGTCGTATATTATGAAGAAAATGCCCAGATAATTCGTGGGTGCCATCAAATAAATTTTGTAATATGAGTGGAGGAGCAGGTAGATCTTCAAGAATGACTTCGCCATGTTTACAACAATCATGAAATGAATTTTTTTTATTAGATACTCTTTCTGCTTGGAAATGTTTAGCATTACAATGCTCACATGAAATTTTCATCGCACCAGCAAAATGTTCTTCTATATGCGAGACTGAAATACTGTCAGAGAAATTTTGATTCTGTGCAAAATCCCGTTTTTTTTGGCTATGAGTTTTTTGATAAGCTACATTTTTTTGACGACCGGAAATATTAGTATTTGCTAAATTTGCTGTAACAGTTACATTATCTTTTGCCAAAGATGTAGTAACAGTTGTAGAGAATTTTTCTGAATTTATATTTGATTTTGACACTGTAATAATACTGTCCTTTGTTTGAAGTGATTGAGGGTTAAGAATTCTATTATTCTCTTGTTTTTTTTGTCGAAACTTTCTTTGATAAGCAGCTTTCTTTTGACGTTTCATGACTTGATGTTGTTCTTCTTCCTCTAAAGAACGTATTATTGATCTTTTTTTACTTGATTTTCATTTTTTAAATTAGTATATTTTGTAACATTTCTTGAATCATTACAATCATCATTAGTTTTTGATTTTATAAATAATTCACTGTTAACTTTATGTTCACAAAGTTTTACATAAGAATGATCACGTGTAATGTTCATTTCATTACAATAACCCATCTCTATATGTGACTTTGAAATAATATCAGACTGATTTTGTTTTTGAACAGAAGTATGTTTATTTTGTCGAGAGGTGCGCTTGTAAGCAACATTTCTGTCACGAATTGACGTTTTAACTTTAGAAGTAGAAATATTTTCTTCTGCTGATGATAAAGCTGTAGATGTGCTTTGGGGCCTCGTATTTAAAGTTTGCTCTGCACTAATGAATTCATTAGAATCCAATGATTCAGAGCGAACAATTTTATTATTTTCTCGCTTTTTTTGTCGATATTTTTTTTGATAAGCAGCTTTTTTTGACGTTTTATGATTTTATATTTTTCCTCTTCTTCAGGAAAATGAACCATAGCTCTTTTTTCTCCTTGCTTCTCAGTTATTATTAATTTTGTATCTTTCATTCCATTGCTTGAATCAATAGAAATATTATTAACATCATTTGCTGGAATTAAAGGCAAATCTTCTAAACAACTATCAACAAAATTTTTTTTACAAACATTGCTGGTTGAATTCAACGATGATAAATTATTGTCAACAATTTTATTTTCTTCATTTTGGAAACTTTTTTCTCTAGCTCGATTCCTAAGAAGACACTCCCAATTACATTCAACAGTCATAGTTCTAATATTAGTCGACCTTACTGACGGAAATTTACTTAAACGATTGTTTTTGAACATTAACATTAAATGATTTCTCATGTTATAATAATAGTAATTGACAGAGTGGGGCATAATATAAAAAAATATCGATGTTGCGAATGCTATTGCATATATTCCACAAGCAAGATTATTGTTTGGTTGTTGATCAACAGTTGTGAAAACTACTGGAGGTTTAAAAGGATATAATCTACTTAAATATTTCCTTTGATCTTCATTTAAACATCCTTC